AAATATTTCTTCTGATGGCCTTTTTATAGTCAACCATCCTCCCACCCTAAATCACTGATTTATTTCTCTCTTTTGTTTCACATTTTCTAGATTTTAATGTGGCTGGAATTATACGGTAGATAGATAACCTTTTGAAGTTGGCTTTTTTTTACTTCAAATAATGCATTTGAGAGGTGCCTGGGTGGCTCAGTTGTTTAAGCATCCAACTCTTAGTTTCAGTTCAGGTCATGATCACACTGTTCATGAGTTACAGTCCCATGTTGGGCTTTGTGTGGACACTGCAGAGCCTGCCTAGGATTCTCTCTCTCTCCCCCCCTCCCTCTCTGTTCCTCCCCAACTTGTGTAGTCTCTCTCTCTCTCTCAGAATAAATAAATAAATTTCAAAAAAATATTTTAATAGTTTATTGTCAAGTTGGTTTCCATATAACACCCAGTACTCATCCCCACAAGTGCCCTCCTCCATGCCCATCACCCCCCTTCTCCTCCCCCCCACCCCCATCAGTGCTCAGTTTGTTCTCAGCATTCAGGAGTCTCTCATGGTATGCCTACTTCCCTCTCCCCCACTATTTTCCCCCCTTCTTCTCCCCCATGGTCCTCCGTTAAGTTTCTCCTAATCCTCCTATACGTGCAAACATGTGGTATCTGTCCTTCTCTGCCTGACTTATTTCACTCAGCATAACACCCTCAAGTTCCATCCATGTTGCTACACATGGCCAGATTTCATTCTTTCTCATTGTCATGTAGTATTCCATTGTATAGATGAACCACATCTTCTTGATCCATTCGTCTGTTGATGGACCCTTAGGCTCTTTCCATTTTTGGCTATTGTTGAGAGTGCTGCTATGAACATTGGGGTACATGTGCCCCTATGCATCAGCACTCCTGTATCCCTTGGGTAAAGTCCTAGCAGTGCTATTGCTGGGTCATAGGGAAGTTCTGTTGTTAATTTTTTGAGGAACTTCCACACTGTTTCCCAGAGGGGCTGTACCAGTTTATATTCCCACTAATAGTGTAGGAGGGTGGCCATTTCTAAATTTTTAAAAAATAATAATGCATTTGAGATTCACCTATGTTGTTGAATAGCAGTAGATATTTCTTTTTATTGCTGAGTAGCATTCCATTTGTGGCTATGCCCTAGTTTATCCATTCATTCAGCAGTTGAAGGACATATAAGTTGTTTCCAGTTCTGTGAGATAATGAATAAAACTTCTATAAACATTCACCAGAAGATAAGTTTTTTATTTCTCATGGCTAAACACCTAGGAGTAGGATTGTGGGGTTGGATGTGATTGTATATATTTCTGAAAAGCCACCAAGTTGTTTCTAAAATGGCATCCCCACCAGAGATGTATGAGAGTTTTGGTTGCTTCACATCTTCAACAACACTTGGCATTATCAGTTAAGTGTGTGTGTGGCCACTGTGAGAGTAGCCTAGTGGTACCTTATTGTGGGTTAAGTTTGGTCATTTCCTAATGACTATGTTGACCTCGCTAGGATGGATAAAATGAGACCCTGTGAGTCATCCATAGTGTCTTGCTTTCTTTGCCCATCTTATTGATGTTCCCTTGCTATCCCTGTCCCTTGTGTCTGTGTCCCACCCTTGCTTTATCATGACCTTAAGTGACCCATCTTTGGCCAGATGGACAGCTGCTGTTAGACTCCACAGGCCCATCTTTCCCAAACTCACCTTCACCCACCACTCACCACAGGTCCCACTGTAGGGACAGCCCACAGCACACCATGGTAATTGCTTTTCTCAGCAGAGCCCTGGTTTCCTTGTCCTCAGGGCCCAAGGAGGTGAGCAACAGATGACCATGCCACCTGGACTCAGCGCTCTGCCAAGAGGCCACTGTCACTTTCCCTTCATACCTCAAATTGATTCCCAGAAGGAAAGTGGGCCAGGCAGGCCCACGCTTGTCCCACCCTCTTCTGTGGGCACCATCACAAGCTGGTGCCCTTCTCTTTGAACTCTGGAGCCAGCAGCTGCGGCCATGCTTCTAATTTCAAATAACAATGGGAAGTCACATGGTTAGAATTTATCAGATGCCAAGTACGTCTTTGGATGGAAGAGTTAAAATGTGTGTCTCATTCTCTATCCCTTTATATTGTATGTAGTGAGGGTAGGTAGTGTTTCATGATACTTCTGTGTCAGAGACATATATGTGTCTACATGTATTTGCGTGCATGTAGTGTGGGTATGAGGACTAGGCTGCAGCTTAAACACATTTCATTCTTGGGGTGCAGTCAGAAAGGTTGAAAGCTGTTGGCCCAGGGCATGCAAAAGCAAAGGGCCCTCCAAACTTACATTTATACATGATATGGAGCCAAGAAACAATTCAGTAATAATGTAAGGGTTTCGAACAATTCACTTTGCAATTCAAGTGCCGTGGCTCCTATGTGACTGCAGGAGAAATGCCTTCAGAGCTTCAGATGGTTTCCCTGGAAATCTCTCCTTCCTGGATCTTTTCAGACCCCATTCTCCTGATTTTTTCTCAGAATATGTGGGGATTGCAAAAAATGCTCATCTGAACGGTGGAGTGCTCAGTGGGAAAATATGGCCATTCCATTGGCCAAAGATACTAATCCAGAAGAACACAAGAAATAGCTGAATAGCTAGTAATTCCTGCTGTAAGGTATCCAGCTAAGAGGCAGCAGATAGAGGTGACAGGAGCCGCACATGAGCTGTCTAAATTGGACCTGTATATTTTCTCTCAGGAAGTAGACAGCAAGGCCTTAGGTATGTGTTGTGTTGAAGGGGGCCAGCTGGTGTAAGTGAGATGGTTCTCTAGAATCATTATCTAGTGGTCCAAGAGAAAAGGTACCAGCTTTGTAGCTGAAGATAATACCAAAAGTCCTCAATCAGATAGATGGTTCTAAAGAAACACAGAGTCCATTCTTTGTGAAGAATGATTAGTAGTCAGGTTTTAGGGGTGTTTTTTTTTTTTTAATTTTTTTTAAATGTTTTATTTATTTATAGAAGAGAGAGAGAGAGACAGCGTGAGCAGGGGAGGGTCAGAGAGAGAGGGAGTCACAGACTCCGAAACAGGCTCCAGGCTCCGAACTGGCAGCCAGCACAGAGCCCGACGCGGGGCTCGAACCCACGAACCGTGAGATCATGACCCAAGCGAAAGTCGGACGCTTAACCGACTAAGCCACCCAGGTGCCCCGATTAGTAGTCAAGTTTAAAAGAAACACTTTTGAAGTTGGTTTCAAAGATTGAGGTGGTCTGAGAGCTTCAGAGCTCCTGGATGAGCATATAGGACACCAGTCTTCCTGAAATGGCACTGACTTCAAGCAGCAAGGGCAGGGAGAGTTTGTCTGGGGAAGGACAGAGCTCTGACACCAGTGCCCCTCCCCCTACCTTGGCTTCTGTCTGGACCCACCCGCTGTTCAAGTTAGGCATCTAATCATTTCCATTGTTGGCCACTTGTCAAATTCCCCTGGTGGTGTCCTTCCCAGATAAATTCTATTCTCTGCTTGACATTCTTTGTCCATTATTTTGTTTCCTTGTTTTGTTTCCTTTTTTGTTTGGTTCTTGTTTTTATTTGGGTTGGCATTCTTTTTCAAGGGTAGTCAGGTTACTTTAAAAGAAGAAGCAAAAAAAAAATTTTATTTCATCAACTGAATTATGTCATTAAAAAAATAAAAGAGCTCACTTTTGTGAAACTCTTTCCCACTGGTATTCTCTCAGTTAACCAGGATCCTCAAAGAATGGGGGAGTAAATACACTTAAAATTCTGAGATATCTATTTCCAGAAAACCTACTATTCAACCTCATGTGTTTATATATATTTAAATGATTTGACTTCCCTTTTGGCTTTGGAACATGCTGGGATTATACGGGAAGTTAAGGAATCTTTCTTTGATGTAGAGTGTTGTTATTCTGAGTATCTGTTCTTATTGCCCAAAATGTGGATGTAGAAGGAATAAAAGTTTGAGTTGAATTTGTCCTTACTCCAGAACCTTTCTGGATCATTTTTTTTTTTTTAATTTTGTGGTGATGCTGTTGTTTCTTCTAAATATCAAGGGTATGCAAATTCCAGTACATTAGGAGCTCTGGCAAGAGTGGTCTGCATTATCTCATGTATCCATTGTTAGCCAGCTGAGGAAAAATAGGAAAGGCAGGGTTGATTCTGTCTATTTCAAAGTGGCCATAGGCTGAGACCCAATGATGATATGGAAACTATGCAAAGTCACACAGAGAGCCCGTGGCATAGCCAAAGATGGATGCCAGATCACCAAGCTGGGTCATCTGCCTAAAAATATCTGTCTCACTACTAGTCAGGATGCCTAAACTTCCAGCATTTGGCATTATACCTTTATGTTTTCAAAATTTTCCTACTAGCTCTTCCTAAGCGAAAGTGCATGTTCTTTAGAAGGAGTAACTCCTTCGGTTGTTATCAACCTGCCACCTCAGAAGGAATGTTAACAGTCAGGGCACCTGGGTGGCTTAGTCGGTTAAGCGTCCGACTTTCGCTTAGGTCATGATCTCGCGGTTCATGGGTTCGAGCCCCGCGTCGGGCTCTGTGCTGACTGCCAGCTCAGAGCCTGGAGCCTGTTTCAGTCTGTGACTCCCTCTCTCTCTGAGCCTCCCCTGCTCACGCTGTCTCTCTCTCTCTCTCCTGGAAATAAATAAAACATTAAAAAATTAAAAAAAAATACTGGGCAACCTTTAAAAAAAATAAATAAAAAAAAAAAGAAGGAATATTAACAGTTAAGGAAGGATAAAATCCTATGAACCAAGTGTAGAAACATGTAAAATGGGGAAAAGCATATGGGTAAAAGGGCATTGGGACATCTGGGTTGGTGTGGGGGCGGGGAGAGGGTGCAGTGATGAACCTGTACTTCTCCCAAAGACCACATGGCGTATGGCGTTTCTCACTACATTCCTCCTCTTCTCTTCTTTTGTACCCCCTAAGCCCCATAGAAAGTGCTAGTCTTCTCCAAGAGTTTCAGCATTTGGCCCAACATCGTTCTCCATCTCTTGCCCTTTTTCCTAGGTAGCAGGTATCAAAGGGATATTCTTGGCAAACAAGAAGGTGGATGACCAGGTGAAGACATACATCACTTACAACAAGGGCAGAGACTGGCGCCTACTTCAAGCTCCAGATGTGGACCTCAGAGGAAGTCCAGTACACTGCCTGCTGGTTAGTCACCCAGTCTCACATGAGGTCCATGGACAGTCTCACAGGAGGTCACCTGGGGATGTTGCATCAGGGGCTTTATTCCATCATGGTGTTCATAGGAACTTGAGTGGTGCTGGGCGGGGATTTCCCACAACTCCCCAGGAGATGATCTATGGACTCAGATTGCCATACCACTTGAGTGGAAAGTTCAGTTGAAACCCACAGGCTTTTACAGAAAACTTACTATGTGCTCCAACTCCTAGTAAGATAAAGAAATATTTAAGAGAAAGTGCCTGTGTTCCAGAGTCCCATACAGAGCTCATGGTAGAAACACACCTGTTAACTGATACTGATATGATACAGTGTGATAAATGTTTGATGTCAAGGGAAGCAAAAGTTGTGTTGGAAGCCCAGAAAAGGTCAGGCTGGTGTGTCCACATGGGATAGAAGCTAATTTATCAACATTCCTAGGGTGCCAGATATATGGAATATTGAGGTAGGCACTATGGAGGATGTGCTGTATAAGAAGTTTTTTCTGCCCTCAGACGTGGCAATTCGAGGTGGGGAGGGAAGACAGATCATTAACAGTGAAATTCACAACCCTCTGTGCTCTCTTAGAGAGGACCTATGTGAGAAACTCTTCTAAGGCCCCAGAAATGGTTACGTGTCCCCTTAGCCAGAAGTTGCCTTTTGCCACTTATTAAAGGGGGGAAATGGTGGGGGAAAGGGAGAGAGGCAAACCATGAGAGACTCTTGAATGCTGACAAAAACTGAGAACTGATGGATATAGGGGGGAGGGGGGATGGGCATGGAGGAGGGCACTCGTGGGGATGAGCACTGGGTGTTATGTGGAAACTAATTTGACAATAAACTATTTGTAAAAAAAAAAAAAAAGGTTTATTAGCCACTTACCATATTCTAGACATTATATCAAAACCTGGGGCTGTGTGGGCAGACAGGGCCTTTCCTCTTCTGTAGATTTCAGTCTAAACTCATATTTTCTGCTTGAGGTGTCAGGAAGATCAGAGACTAATGTGTGCCCACCTCTAGGAGCTGGTCACAGAATGGAGCTAGTCCTTACCCAAGGCTTTCTCTTATTTCCTTAACCTAATTTTCTCCTTTCCCAAATTTCATAATTTTCTTGTTTTTTTACTTATTATATAAGATACATTGCTATAAATCCCTAATCCTCTTTAAAAACACCTAAATATGGATAAATGGGTAAATACATTTATATGAGTTTTAGACAATGGCTTCAAACATTTCAGGTAAAATTCAAGTAACATCATACACATGAATCTCATAATAAAAGAGGAAAAGAAACAGCCTGGTTGAAGAAAAGGGTAGAAGGCCTGGAGACTGCTTCACGTAGCTTCTTTTCTGCCTCCCTCCCAGTGGCCACCTACACCTGTGAAAAGCAGGATGTGGATGTCAAGATCAGACAGGAAGGTCAGGATCATCCTGTGGGAAGGAATCGTCAGGGAGGCTTCCTAAGGCTGACCGTGAACTGGACCTTGATGGATGGAGCAGGGATGAGGAGGAAGAGGGGTAGGGACTACAGTTGTCATGGGGGCAGCTTCTGATGTGAGCATACCTGCTGTCTCAGGCGGAAATGTCTCCTTGCCCAAATCTGAGCCTGTGGCTGTTTCTGAAAGCTAAGCCTCTGGAAGTCTCATCTCTGGTGGGGCAGGGTGTGTGTCAGAAGATTGCTGGAATGAAGCTGTTTTATCTTCTCTATTGTAGCCCTTCTGCTCCTTACACCTACACTTGCAGATCTCTGAAAATCCGTATTCCTCGGGAAGAATCTCTAGCAAAGAGACAGCCGCGGGGCTTGTGGTGGCTACAGGTAAGGAAGGCATTCCCTGGGTTTCTTCCTCTCTGAGGGCTTCTGGAATATGTTTATCACTACTTTGGTATCATTTGAGCATTGGGTGAAAGCAGTGGTGGGTGCTCTCCGCAGAAAACAGGCAGAGTTATGGAACCCCAGGGCCAGTCTAATGCCCCAGGAAAAGAACTCCAGACACTTGTAACTTCTAGGTTAATGAGCATCCCACACAGTCACAGAGCAGTCCCTTGTGCTTAGCAAGAGGCTAGAGTTCCTCTCAAAGTAAACTGGCTGAATAGAAGGCTTGTTTGTAATAGGGAATTCTCACTTTAAGACCTCGTGATATATGAACTTTCCAGCTCACCAAATAGAAGTTGAGGTCATTTTCTCTTTACACAAAGATTCTTTGCAAAGGGTTTCACCCCAGAGCTGTTTTTAATCAAGAGGTCTCTGGTGCATGTAAAGGTTTGTTTACACATGATTAACCACTTGGCTACGAGCCTGGGGAAAATGGCAGAAAAACCTAAGGTTGCATCGTTGGAAACACTGTCCACTGAACATCAATCAGAAATGAAGACAAAGCAACTCTGAAATGAAACTGAAAGTCTCTGGGGAATGTGTTCTGATTAGCATGCATTTGATTTACATGTACCTTTTGAGGAATACATTGATGGCATAAAGCAAGGCAGGCCTCTAATCTCAGGAGTTAGAGCTCTGGTGTTAGCCTCTTTTCTAATGAGAGCAGATAAATTCACAGTGACTTCCTGAGATAGTACATTGTGTCCTGTCTCATCAACTTGAAGCTCTGGCTCCTGGAGTTACTGCTCTTCTAGACAGGACTTCCTTCTCCATGGCTCCAGCTGCATGAACTTTGAAACACCATCCGTGACTGACTGCACTGATCAGATTTGCAGCAATGTAGCTCTCTAGCATTCCCTTCCATTTCTCCCAACCCTGTAGGGATTGAATCCCCATATTTAACACCACTGGCATCAGGAGAGACTTCAGCCCAAGATAATGAGAGATGACGACAGGCTCTGTTGCTGTTCTGGCTTGGGGAGTGATCCCCACACCTCCAATCCTTGGGGGTTGAACCTCTCAACTCAGGGACTGCAATACTCTCTGCCTTTTCTCAAGGCCTACAGGACATCCTGGGTTGGCGTAGGAGGAACATGGAAAACAGTAATCAGTGATCAAAGTAATATTATTTAGTATGTCAATTGTGTAGCCAGGCATTGTCCTATGTGACTTAACCACTCTGAACTTCAGTGTTTTTACTGGAAAGTGGGATTAACAGTATCGACATAACAGAATTGAAGGATTAATCGAAGAACTGGATTTCAAGTGCTCGAGCAGTGCCTAGGACATATCGAGTGTTCAATACATGCTGCCTATTATCATTAGCAATATTACAGAAATTTAACCCTGCTCCTCTTGTGTCAGAATACTATGATTTGTGCATCTCCTTCAACAGAATCCATAAATCATATATGCACTATGCATACACTGAATGAATGAATACACTCTGGAACTTTGTCCTCTTATCCGAGCTGAGCTCTGACACTCACTAGCCTTGTGAATTTGGCTGAGTTCTTCAACCACTGGTCTTTGTTTTCCTTATTTATAAAACAGACTTCCTCCCCCACCCCACCTTGTGGGTTTGTAAGAATTAGAAGAGAATGTCTGCAAGACCCAGCAGAGTGCTCAGAGCAAAGCGCAGTGGGATTAGTTTACTTATTACTTGTGACCATTGTGTGTTTCTAAATTAGTTAAATGTTAAGTCTTTATAAATTAACACACACAGGTAACATTAAAGATTTGTTTTGGAAAGTTTTTATTCATAGACACTTGACCCTTGAATAACCATGGGGACTGGGGGCGCCAATCTTGGCTTCATGGAAAATCCACATATAACATTTGAGTCCCTGAAACATAACTACTAATAACCTAGTGTTGACCAGAAGCCTTAAGAACAAACAGTCAGTTAGTATATATTTTGCATGTCATATGTATTATATACTGCATTCTTACAATAAAATAGGCTACAGAAAAAAAATGTTACTAAGAAAATTAGAAGAAAGAGAAAATACATTTATAGCACTGTACTATATTACTGAAAAAAGATCACATATAAGTGGACCTGTGCAGTTCAAATTCATGTTGTTCAAGGGTCAACTGTGTATTAGAATTTACTAGTGCCTTTTGTTCTCCCCTTTGTGACTCTTACAACTTTGTATGGCCTTTTGCCATACAAATGTCCCTGGGACTTTGGGAAGGCTATAGCACAGCTGAGGAGCTCCTGACGAAAAGCTAGAGCTAGATCTCTGCACTTGCCTCCTCATTCCCAGCTTCTCCTCAGCCTGTTGCCAGCTCTCCCTGGGAGGTTGTTTGTTATCAGGAAATAGTTATGAAGTCAGCCAAGGATGCCCTTGGTGGCCTGCATGCAGCCTGTCTCTTCAGGGCCCATTCCAATGTCTGGGCATTTCACCTGCCTCCAAGTGTCTGTGACCCTGGGCTCCCTCCCCTCCACCCCTGCTGCACTGCCTCTTATCCTTTGCCCTGAGGTGTGTTCTTGGGGGAGCTGTGTGGAGGACAGGATTCATCTCTAACTCCCGTTTGAGGCCATCTCAGAAGGCAGATGGAATTCCAGTCTGGAGAGCTTGACAATTGCTTTTAGCAGAGCGAGAACACTAGGACTCTAAATATTCTTACCACTGTGCTTTCTAGCAAGGTGTCCAGACCCCCATCTTCACATTTCCTTCCAGTGTGTAAAGCACTCTCTGTGCCTCAATTGCACAGCAGTGCTACGATGTGAAGAAGGTGGTAACTCTTCTCAATTTACAGATGAGGAGGTGGAGGAAGAAGAGGAAGAGGTTTTGTGCCCACACCACCACTCTCTTGGGCTCTAGGTCTAGTCCGTCCAGCCAGACCTAGTCCTGAGCCCCTTCACGTGCCTGCTGCATGGTACCCCAGGTTCCCAGCCATGCTTCCTGTAAACTGAAGGTCCATGGAGGGACTCTCCACTCTGCATTGGATGGTGCACTGGCTACCTCCATTTCCACCTTTCCACCAAGCCCTTAGTCCCCAGAATGGGGATCTGTGCTAGCAAGACTCCAGAATTCTCTTCCTCTCTTTATTCTCTCTCTCTCTCTCTCTCTCTCTCCCTCTCTCTCTCTCTCACAAGTGTTTAAGGGGCATAGAAAAGTAGCCTTGAGAGGAAATGAGAATTTTCCAAGGCACAAGTGTTTAAGGGGCATAGAAAAGTAGCCTTGAGAGGAAATGAGAATTTTGCAAGTTGTTTAAAGCCACCAAAAAGGCAGTAGAACCTCCAGGATTGGCCAGCTAAGCCATTGGTGAGAGAAGCTCTGTCTGTGTTCTTCTCTGTGTCTCTCCCCCTTTCTCTCTCCCATCGCATCTCTTAAGCGGGGAACAGATACATCCTCTTCTAACCAGCCTAGAGGCCACTTTGGTGAGCTTCCCAGTCCCACATCAGCCAGTGAGGCACCTTATTCAAATCTTCTTTATGTGTTGCCATAACCCAGATTCTTCCTGTCAGGGATTCCTCATGGGGCCACTTAGGGACAGCCTGTGTTCTGAGACCCAGTTGTCCTGGAGACATCTTTTCTGTCCCTTTATCTGGAAACTGACTTTTCTGGTTCTTGTGCTCACTAGCATCTTTTCAGGGCTCCTTTTAGTTGATGTAAGATATTTCTGAAAACAGACATAGCTGTGAGCCTTGGATTCTAATCACCACAGAACCTTCAAAATTAGTCTGGTGGGGCTTTGAAAGAGAGAGAGAGGAGGGCTTAGGAAGCTGACAGAACCAGCTCCTACTGAGAGCATGAGGTTGGTAAGACAGACCCTAAGAAGCCATTAAAGGAATGGCAGATTCCAGCTCAAGGGTGACTATGCTCCTGTGCTTGCCTCTCACTTTCTACCACCTTGGTAGACATTCCTGATTGATCACCATACTCTGTTACCTTGAAACCAAATATGGCCTCAGAATCCTTCTTGTCACAGTGTTCCAGGTAACCATCCCCAAAAGACTCAAGCTGATATTCTCTGCCCCATCCCTCTTTTCTTTCTTTATCTGTGTCTTCCAAACCTTTATCTGGAGAGTTGAATGCCAGATTCCAGACAGATCTCCACAGAGCTGCTCATGGTGCCTCTCCTCGTTCCACTCACAGCTACTGCCTGAGCCCCAAGCCCCCGGGGTTATTTTTGGAAGCCTGAGTGTCAAAACAAGTTGGCTAGCTGTGTGCTCCCTGGTGCTGATGGGAGCTTGACAAGCTATAGCCTGGCTTTAATTTCTCATTTTGAAGCATTAAATGTCAGGAGCTCAATTAACATTTTCATTATTGCATTTTTATTGTGCTCTTATTTAGGCTACAGATGGGTGGGAGCTAACATTCCCTTCCTGCTATTTTTAAAGAAAAAAATACCAGCCAAAATGATAAATTCTTACCTCTTTAGGGTACTCTCCTGGTTCTTGATAACTCCCCAAATGCACATCAACATCAGAACATGATTTAATCATTTGTTGACTCATTCATCCATTTCACAATTATTTATTGAGCAATTAACTACTACATTTGGGGCACTGTTTTGGGCTCTGAGATGGGGGATGCCCATTGGGGAACCTTGGGCAACATAGGTAGACTAGAAAATCTTGGTCATTTCCTCTTTTAATAAGCATAAGCACTAGTAACGATGCTTAAGGAGAAGAAAAAGAAGGAGAGAGAGAGAACAAAGTTGTCAAGGGATGGAAGCAGTAAGTGTGGCACAAACCAGGTGATTTTTCCTGCTGTGCTTAATAGTCATGGTCTGCTGAGGATAGTCATTTTATTCTGGCCATCCTGTAAATTTGGTTACATAGCCTATAATATGGCATGGGGTCATTCAACTGTCTGGTGCCCAAGATATACATTCACACACACACACACACACACACACACACACACACACACACACAGGTTTTCCATAGGCTAAAATTATACATGAGGAGGAAGGTATCCTTAGACCCAACTTCTCTATGCATGTCTCTTGTTCCACTCTTTGCCACCTTCAGAGAATGCCTATAAAGATAAATTTTAAGAGACTATTGGTAACAGCATGAATAATTCAAGAGATCCAAACTCATTAATATTGGGTCTTTGAACCTTACCATTTAAAGATGAATTCCTGTTATATTATTTACCTATGTTCCCATATTATATTTTTCTTCTTGCTGTGTTTTTGATATAGCAATAAAGACATTGCACAAATCAACTCCAAACATAACTTAGAAAATCTTTACTATCTGCTACCCTCCCCCTCAGTCACAAATCTGAAAGCAATTACAAATGATCTGCTTATGTTTCAGGCAACATTGGCCCGGAGCTCTCATATACTGATATTGGTGTGTTCATCTCTTCTGATGGGGGCAACACATGGAGACAGGTAACTGGGAGAATTGGGGACAGGGAAGAGACATTTAAGGCAAGTTCTGCCAACATCTCTTTTTCCTATAGATTCTTGGGCTCATTATGACTTTGTGGTTGCAAAAAATATTGAAGCAGCCATTCAGTTTGGTCCATTTTGTTGACAGATGGGCAGTGGGGTAAAATGGAAACATTGGGTAAAGAATAGAAAGAACTGGAATTTTCCCATTTTTTCCATTCTTTCATTCAGTGATAAGTATGGAACAGCCACCAGATGCTAAGTACTATGCTAGTTTCTGGGGATACAACCAGTGAAGTGGTTTCTACCATTAATGTGCCATGGGATATATCTGGGCAGATAGGTCCCTTTATCTTTCTGAGTCTGTTTCTTTATCTACAAGATGAAGAGTTTGAGAGAGAGGTTAGAATAATAAAAACACAAGGCTGTTGAACTCTCTGGTGGTTTAAGTAATATGTAGGCCTAGACTTAAGTAAGTATGGAGCAGCTTAATAGATACATGACTACATGAAAAATTAATTTAATTTTACATTTGTGGCACACTGTCCGATAGAACTTTCAGCAGTGATGGAAATGTTCTGTGTCTGTGCCATCCCAAGTGGCTGTTGAACACTTGAAATGTGGCTAGTGTGACAGAGGAACTGAATTTTTTGTTTTATTTATTTTGATCAATTTAAATTTAAAGCATCTCATGTGGCTACAGTATTGAGCAACACAGATTTATACAATGTCAGGTAGGTGTCAAGTACAAACCTGAGGAGGCAGTTGAATATTTTGGAGTCCCTTTCCTCAAGGACCTCAAAATTAAGTAGAGAAAACAGTTTCATAAATAACTAACTATAGTTTAGAGTGATTGAATTATTTTAGTGGCATTCTTAGCCAGCAGAGTGAAGAGAGGAATTGATTCTACTTGTGGAAACTGGGAAAGAGTTTACAAGAAGAGTTGGCATTTTAGTAAGTCTTACAGGTGAGAAGGTTTTCACCTGAGGAAGACAAAGCCAAATGTCTTGATGAAGGGGAAGCCACCATCTGCAATCTAGTTGGACAATTCCCTGTTTGGATCCCTTAGTGAAATATCATCACCATCACCAACATCATCATCACCACCCTCATTGCCACCACTGTCACCACTACCACTATCAAAAGATAAATTTACCTAGGACTAATACTTGCAACCAGCTATTTTAAGTACTATAAGCCATATGGCAAAGAAGAAGTTAAGGTTCCTACCCATAAGACCATAATCAGGTAGATAAGGAGCAGATACATAATTAAAAACATACCTTCGGAATATAAGATAATCACTTTTTTTATAATTTTAAAATTTATTTTGAGAGAGCCTGTGAGAGGTGAGGGGCAGAGAGAGAGAGGGAGAGAGAATCCCAAGCAGGCTTCTTGCTGTCAGTATGGAACCTGACATGGAGCTCAATCCCATGAACCATGAGACCGTGACCTGAGCCAAAATTAAGGGTTGGACACTTAGCTGACTGAGCTACACAGGAGCCCCAAGATAAACTCTTTTAAGTGTAAAATGAGGATGGAAACTGGAACATCAACTCTTCTGGTATAGAAACTCCCAACAAAAACCATTGTCCCTCCAACTCAAGAAATACCTCACCTGGCCATGTGGCTACTGCAGCATCCTTTCCTTGTGTTGCCACTACTTTGGTTTTCTTTTCTCTTTTTCTAAATAGCTAAGGATTTCAGTTTCCACTCCATTGCTGGACAGGGCGATTGTTAACATTGACCAGAATGATAGAGAGGGAAGTGTAAAGATAATGACTTCTCTCTCTTCCCCATGGCAAGATTCTTCTTTTACTCCTCATCCTTACACTTAAATCCAGCATTTCCATTATGTGGATTATCACAGAGCCCACCTTTGAGCTCTGGAGAGAAAATGGTGGCATTGTAGGCCCAAAGTTCATGTTTATGTATGATATATCAATGAGTCACCCTGAGGTCTTTTTGCATTAAGACCTCAATAGTATGGACATTTTTATTTCCTTAAAAGACAAATGTGAGAAAGGAAACCAGTTGGAAAGTTAGGTTTTTCTCCATGGTGTTCCTAAGGCAGACCCCATTCCTCCTGTTCCCTCCCTTTTAAATATGTTTATACCTCCTCATTTTTTCTAATGTGTATCACTTAACCCACCATCCCAACCTCTCCCTCTAGCCTGTAAGAGCCACCACTAGTAGCTAAGAGCTAGAGGGATTATCCAAGTTTACTTTCCTCTAGAAGATCTATAGTAGGAGGTTGGTTCTCTGCTAGATTAATGGTTTTTATTTGTTTATTTTATTTTTCCTGTTTTAGGTTGGAGATATGATAATTATATATAATAGAAACATTGATATGTGTGGGATTACATCTGAAGTTCTCATAGCTCAGAGCCTGGCATCATAGTAGAGGCTTAGGAAATGCCTGTTGATGGATGAATGGATGGGTGGATCACTCAATGCTTGAATGACTTAATGGATACCTGAAATGAGTAATGGACAAAAGGATGAATCAAAGAATAAATAACTCTACGTCTCTGGAAGTACTGTGTTCCAATACACATTCAGAGTAAAGATCTTCAAGGGCCAAACTTAGGCCTTCATCCAGCTTGCATGGAAACCTAGGAGGCAGTGCCTGAGTTTAAGAACTCAGTCATTACGTATACCATAATGTCTAGAGAAATTGTTTTTACATTCCTAGATAATTTATGAACAACACTGTAAGCGACAGACTGTTTATGAATTAGCAAAAATCTGAGTAGATGAGAAGGAGAGAGCTGAGTAGTAAGTTACTCAAAATGCAAAGATAAGTAAACATCTTTTAAGTCATATTTTCCTTTGAATAAGGAGCTAAGCATGCATTTTGTTGTCTCAGCTTCTTGTAGCACACCGGTTCACAGTACTAGTGTAAGGATCCCTGGAAATGCCATTTCAGTGACCTAGGGAGAGTTATTTGTTCTCTGCAAGCCCATTTCCTTATCTATTAAGTGGGGATGATAGTACTTGTCAAACTTCCTGATAGGGTTGTTGGAGGGCTCAGAACCTAGATGAAACAATGTATGTGAAGGACTGTGTAAACTGTTAAGCACTGTGAAAATGTAAGGCATTGTTATGATTGTTGTTGTTGTTACTGTTGTTCCAGATCTTTGATGAAGAGTACAATGTCTGGTTCCTAGACTGGGGTGGCGCCCTGGTGGCCATGAAACACACACCTCTGCCAGTCAGGCATTTGTGGTAAGGACAGCCTCCTACCCTATTAATGAGCTATATTTTTTAGTGGAAAGTGTTGGGACAAGTTTTTACACATGACTTTGTACCCATTTACCCATTTCCTCACCCATGTATTCACTCATCCATCCATTTAATATACATTCCATCATTTAACTCTTAGTTAGCAGTAGTGGACCAGATAATTTGGATGGGGAGGTATGATAAATAGAGTGGGGTGGTAGAAATAGTGCTAATATAAGGCAGAAAAGAGCAGGAAGGACTTGTGGGTTCAGACAACCAAGATTAAGAATCTAAAATACAAGATATAGAAATTGATGCAAGAAATTAAGGTTCATGTAGTAGATACTAAATTCAGTGCTATACAAGTTGAGTTTGTGATGTCTGTGAATAGATATGATGTTTATTTGTCAGATATATTCATCTGAAGGTGAGGAAAGAGGTCTGGGCTGACACTCTAGACTTGGAGTCATTAGCTGTTAGATGGTAGGTAAAGCCATGGCAATGGCCTCAATGTCTCAGGAGAATAAGTACAACAAGGAGAAATCAGGGACTCCTATGGAACACTGTTGAATATCAATATACAAAGTGGAAAATAAATTATGAAACATACCAAGAAGTAGCCAAAAAGAAGAGAATGAAAAACAAAACAAAACAAACAAACAAACAAAACCCAGGAGAAATGTTTTCATGGATGCTAAAGACAAAGGTGATCAGTAGCACCAAATTTTATAATTGGGTCAAATTAGTTATGGAATGAAAAACAATCTAGGATTAATTGATATAGAGGAGTAGAGGAGGTCAAACTCTACTTTGTCAGAGTAGATTCAAAAGAGAAGTGGGGTTGAAAGCTAGATTGAATAGATTTATGAATGACATGAATGATGAATGAATGATAAGCAATGGAGTAAAATGGAGACAGTGGAGATAACTCTTCTCAGTAAAGTAGATTATGGAATGAGGTTGTGTGTATATGTGCAAGATCCTCCAGTGAGGACAAAGATCTGTGAGAATATACTATGAAGATGATGATGATGATGATGATGACAATGACGACAACAATTATGATGAGGATGATGATGATGATGCTGTTATTTGTTCTTGCTTTTGGCGGGAGATAAATGAGTATCCTGTATATTTCTATGCTGAAGGGAAAGGATTTCAGACTTCAGATGCAGCAAAGTGAATATTTGAGAGTGAATATTTAGCAGTAGAGGGTACCATTTAGCGTAGTTGTTGGGATGAACCACAGGTTGAAGGATGGGCTCTGGCTTAACTTTCAGACCCTTGATTTTGGGAGACTACCCCTTTTAAATTAAGGAGTTTACTGGGAGGTATCAGACTGTAATCAGGAAGAGGCATAGGATTTCCACGTACCAAATTTAAGCTTTGGCCACCTTGGACAGACTTAGAAAAGTTTCTCTTAGTTTGGCCTTTTATTGGATTAAACCATATGAACTTGCCACTTTTGGGGGGTCAAAATAGTCAAATATTGTCAATTTCTTAGAGTTAAAGTTAACATTAAGTCCAGTGGTTTTACCAACTCTGTATTTTCCTATGAGATTATGAGACTTAATTTTGAAAAGATGCATGGAGCCATCTGTAATGAAAATACCAACTGATGAATGAGCATGTAAAGGCTCTCATTGTAATTGTTGATCATCCTCTTACTACTGATTATATACTTTTTGGGTAGAATCAGAAGACTGGAGTTATTTACTACTAATGACAGAATTTTTTGAGGAATTATTACATTCCAGGCACCATTCTAAATGCTTTAATGAATTATCTAAGTTAGTTCTTGACACAATGCTAGGTATGTGGGCACTCCTTTTATCACATATTTATAATGACATTGAAATGCAGACATATTAAATATTTTGCTCAAGGCTACACAGCTGGTACCTGAAAGCACTAGGTTGGGTCTCTGTTATGGATGCTCTTCTGTTTTAACTGAATTTTCCAGATCATTAATGAGTATACAGAGGCTTATCACATGGTTCTAGCTCTGTAGGAGATCATAGTCAAGATAAGACATTATCTGTCATTAGACAGTCTATATATCACCAGAAATCCAAGCAATGTCTGCTAAAGCATGCTGGCCCTTTGTGTTGTTGGGATCTTAGCACAGGATGGAGTTCTGCCTAGTGTGTAAAGGATCTTCGTGCAGATGGTGACATGAGAGTTGATTTTTAAGAAAAAGATGCCAGGAGTCAGAGGACTGATGAAAGACAAGTCAAGGGAAGAGAAACTCTGACCAAAGGCTGGGATTCAGGAAAACTAGGTAGTGTTAAGAAAAATATATCTGACTGGAATCAAGAATGTTAAGTTAAGGCGGGTAGGACTCATCAGAACTTAAATACCAGGTTGAACCTGTAAGTAATCTCTTCCATTGAAAAGACCTGCCTTTTTGTGGAGGGAAGAGCTTCTCTGCTGAGGATAGAGTAGCACTTGGACTCTCAGAGAGGATTACTTGGCTTTTTTTTTTTAAGTTTATTCATTTTTGAGAGACAGAGAGAACAGAGAGTGAGCTGGGGAAGGGCAGAGAGAGGGCGACAGAATCCAAAGCAGGCTCCAGACTCTGAGCTGTCAGAACAGAGCCCAACACGGAACTCAAACTCACTGACGGTGAGATCATGACCTGAGCTGAAGTCAGACACTCAACTGACTGAGCCACCCAGGAGCCCCGAAGATTACTTGACTCTTAAAACAAATTCATTAGTGTATTTGTTTTTTCACCAAGAAAGACAATATTTTTAGCCCCTATCGAGAACTTCCACTTATGTCTCAATAAAAGACATATAGCTGAGAAGATTTCTTCCACTTAAGTCTTGAAAGAACAGAGTGATAACCCCATCTTACCCTTGACCGTCACCCCCCTGCTCTTTTCTTCTTCATTATGGTAGGAACCTACTACATACTTAGTCATTGATTTCTAGACCCTTTTGCACAACAGTTTCCTTATTCTAAGGAAAAGAGGGATTTGGTGGTGGTGTTTCCTTTGGGGGACGGAAAAAGAGAGGATATTTGTACAGACTAGTAGGGAAACACAAGCAGTTTCTTCATCACCAGTAGCTTCTCATTAAGTCACAACTTTCAAGGTAAACAAATAGCTCATTTTAAAGTGGAAGAAAAGTTAAGTAATCGGTTCATTATTTTCTGTGTAGGCCCCAAACTGGCATTATTTTGTACATAGATGTTTATCTGTTTGCATACAAAAAACCACACCCACCAGCCTACCCACTCTCACACAAGGGTATAGTGGTTCTCAAATTTAAATAATAGCTACATTGCCTTTCAGAGAAAATAGGAGTCATAATTGAAAAGCTGAGGAAACTTTAGCTAGGCTAATAAGGCATGCTGTTTCCCATAAATTGAAATGATAGGTAGCTAGATATGCATGAAGACAAAACAGCATACAAATGAACCCATCTATTTGTGACCGTGTACTCTTGGATGCATAGAGATTAGAACCTAAGTGCTATTTCAGGTGAGCTCTTCATTCAGTATTATCTTTATACCATAGATGCATTAGGGTGAAATGAATAATGGAGCCCTATGGAATGCAGTGCGCTAATGAAAACTCACAATAGTCAGAGCTACTAATCTGCGGGTAGATTGGGGTCCTACTGTTTGCTTGCCCTGACAAGCTGTCTGTGTCTCCTTTCAATAGGATGTTCTTGGAAACAGGAAATGAAACATCACCTGGCCTTTTTTGTTCCTTTGTTTTTCTATAAATGGCTGAGAATGTTAGTGTTTTGTTCAGAAAAACATTCACATGAAAATAACAGTTCCAACCAATACGTGCCTCTGAAAAGGGAAAGTGTGTGTGCTATTGTGAAGAGCTTCCAGGTGGCTAAAATGCCACCCCCTTATGTGTTTGTGATAAAATAATATGGAACAGTGCACCTCACCAAAGGGAGGACGCTGATTCTCCATTACCATCACTCTGTTTCTGTGCTAGGAACTTCTGGGGAACACTTGATTGTCCTTGGAAGATTCTCTTCCTTTTGGTGAATCTCCTCTCAATATTATAAAGTCGTAGATGCTGGAATAAGGAGGGGTCTTAGAGAATATGTAGCCTGGTTTCATACGTAGTATAGCAGACACCTCTTGGACACACCAGAGGATCACCCTACCTCACCACAATACCACAGTGGTGGGAAACTCACATATACCCAAGACAGAGATTTCCCATCTTGTGTAATGGCTTTAGCCATTAAAAGATTGTTTTTAGGTTGAGCAGTAGTGAATCTACCTGTAATTAATGTCCATCATTACCTGTTCTGCTGCCCGGAGCTATACTGAATAAGTTGGATCCAAAATTGCCCATGATTTTTAGAATCATATAGCTGGAAAGGACCTCAAGAGATCTCTTTGTCTAACCTTTCTAAGCTTTGGAAAATGATCAGATATGCAGCTCAAGACTGATCTTATTCATTTATTCCTCACACATTCATTGGGCATATAGTATCTATGCAGCTTTAGTTTAAGGGCTGGGATATAAAAATGAACAAGACAAATACTTGGGAGCTTAAATTCTTGTGCAAAAATATTTGACTATTCTCTTTAGAACTGTTATGAGAATGGAAATATTTTCTCCTTTATCTGTATTTTTAATTGATATTTTTATGCATCCAACTACTTATTTCTTTCCCAGACATTGCCCCTTTTCAGTAGTCAACAAATAGAGCGTTTTTGTTTAACTAAAGCTTTCTTACTAAAAAAAAGTAAAAGACATGATAATTAATTCAGCTCTATTCTTCTTTATCCTAAGCTATCTTCAATTCATATAAACTGTTTCTAGAACAACCTGTTTTTTACCTTTAATCACATTGAATGTCAGTTTCTCTATAATGATTGTAACTAAACATAGTATTTAGGATTTAGTAGAAGGATAATTTCTTCTATTATGCATGTTAGCTATCTGTGAACACATAGTAGATTCACAGTGGCTTGATTACCTCTTGTAATAGCATTATTTCTAGAAAGTACTTATCTTGTGATTGACAATGACCCCTGTTGTTTTCAGCTTGAGCTTACCATTAGTTCCTTTCTCTACCATTAGTTTCTTTTCTCTAACTGGGGGGCTTTTTATTTATTTTTTCTAATTAAGCATTCCATTTTAAGTTGGTCCTACCTTATGAGTGACTTCTAAGTCTACATTCCCAACATTGATTACTCCCCAAAAGTTTGGATCCATCCATCCAAAAGTCTCCTTGACAATATGTCTCAACATGGAAGTTCAAAAAGCACCTAAACCTTGATGTGGATCAAATAGAAACAAACAAAAAGCTTTGCTTCTCCTGTTCTTCCCTTTTTCCCATCTCAACGGCTTCACCCTAAATATCTGTGTTGTCCATGATTTATTTCCTTTGCTCAAGTAACCTGTACACATTCTATCACCAAATCCTATTGCCACCTTTAAAAATACCTTTTCCATATCTTTGTTTCTCCACTACTATAGTCTTTATCTGGGCCCCATTTTGTACTTGGTGTCTTAAAATTGTTACTCTTTCCCCCAGCTCATCTCCTTGTATCTACTTTGAGTCCTGACAATCCACCTGCCATAAAAAAATGAAAATTATGTTTTAAAATTTAAGTTAAATTATATCTCTCTCATTGCATCTGGAAACAAGGTCCTTCATAGTCTGCCTGGCCTTGTTTTCTGACTCCATTTCCTTCTACTAATCTATTTCCCACTAATCTAAAGCCACTGGCCATCTTTCTGTTCTTCCCTTATGGCAGCTTTGTTTCACACTAGGTCTTCCCTCTGGAATGGCTCTTACCTGGGTCTATAGCTTGGTCCTTACTAGAAGTCAGAGCTCAGGTTATTTTTTTTTTTCAGACCTCAGTTTAAATGTCACCCCTTCAAAGAGGAATTTTTCTAAACTTCCAATACAAAGTAGCTATGCAGTCACTCTCTACCACATCACTTGGTTTTAGCTGTCTTCATGACACCTATTTATAACTCATATTTTTTATAACTCATATTTTTTAATCCATTTGTCTGAATATTGTTTGTATCCTCAAATTAGAATGTAAGTTCCACTTACACTAGAGTCTTCCCTTTCCTATTCACCACTGGATCCTTTAAACCAAGTCCATTACCAGACCAGGCACATTTAAGCATTATATATATTTGATAAAGGAAGTTTATTTTATTTTGGTTTTGTAGTATTGTCTTGCCAATATTTGGAGGTCAGTTGGAACTTTACACCTGTCTCTCTAAGTATTGGTGATCCTAACAATTTTCTTTTTCACCTGTGGACCTAATAAAGAATTCCCAATTCTTTTGTCTGGGCCATTAATGAGCTATTGAACTGAGTAGGAATAAAGAGAGTGCGTTCCTTCCGGATGCCTTTCACTATAGTTACTTCAGAACACTTAAAATCCTCCCAGTAATCAAAAAAGAATAGCTCTCATAAATGGCAGTCCATCCAGACCCAAAATTTCTGATACTCAAGAGATTAAATTTTCTGATGGTTTTTTTTGGAGTTGTTTAGGGAGTTTTGTTTTGTTTATAATAATTATCTCAATATTCAATATTCACAATATTTAAGTGTTAGAAGTTCTTGATCTCATAAAGGCACGTGCATGACACAATTGTGAGCTTCTAAGGGGTAGGTTGACCATAAATGAGGATTGTGGGATCCATTCCTCACACTGATTCTGTAGGGCTGTTTTTTTTTGCTTATGCTTATAAGCATGGTTTATAATGGATTCTTTGGACTTTGGTTATTGTATATGCTAGCTTTCCCACCTGGATTTTGGCATTTATTAGTCTTTCTTCAGATCTCATTTTTCCATCTAATCCATGCTTCTACTCCTTTCACATGAACTCAGTTCATACAACAGGCCTCTTATCTTCTAGTTTTTCTTTCCATCTTGGGCTTGGTTTTTCCTTCGGCCCTCCATCTCAGAACTAGAAGGCTGTGATGGTCCCTCCTTATCTATTCTGTGGTGTCCCATCCACTGTACAAAGTAACAGTGACTGTCTTCTACCTTGTCCTCAATGGCAGTGGTAGGAAGGCTCCTCCTTCCCTAGGATATTGGTGGCATCCACTGTAATTTTCTCTGCTAGTATTAATAATTGATCTTTAATGGTAAGGAAATTCGGAGAAGGAGATAAGGACCGAGGCCTTCATCTCACTTTGGCTTCTTTCTATCAATGTAAAACCCAGTTTATCCACAATCACCCAAATAAACAAGTAACTAAAGAAATGCTTACTTATCTCCTAGAGTTATCTCCTAGTTAATTAGTTAGTAGCCAGGGCGTATTTGAAAACAACAGTGATTATTTTAGAAATTAAGCAGGTCCATGGCAGGAAAGGCATAAAGTTTATTCCCTATCGTGCTTTCATTTTCACTTTTGAAATAAGAAACTCATTTTCAAGAAAAGCAGTTCAGATCTACTCAGTTCTCTAGGTCAGGTTAGATGGTTATGTGGCCCTCAGCCTTTTTTTTTTTTTTAAGTCTGGGGGCACCTGGGTGGCTCAGTCGGTTAAGCATCCGACTTTGGCTCAGGTCATGATCTCATGGTTCGTGGGTTCAAGCCCCGCGTCAGTCTCTGTGCTGACTGCCAGCTCAGAGCCTGGAGCCTGTTTCAGATATCTCCCTCTCTCTGACCCTCCTCTGCTAACACTGTCTCTCTCTCTCTCAGAAATAAATGAAACATTTAAAAAAAAATATTTTAAAGTCTGAAATGATCAAATTCTTAAAAGTCAAGGAAGTATTGTATATTTTTTATTTTTAAATATTTCTTTATTTTTGAAAGACAGAGTGTGATCAGGGGAGGGTCAGAGAGAGGACAACAGAATCCAAAACAGCCTCCAGGCTCTGAGCCATCAGCACAGAGCCTGACACGGAGCTCGAACTCACAAACCATGAAATCGTGACCAGAGCTGAAGTCAAACACTTAACCGACTGAGCCACCCAGGCACCCCAGGGCAGTATTGTTAACCATCATCATCATGTTATACTCTAGATTCCCCGGAACTCATTCTTCTTGCAAAACTGAGACTTTGAACCCTTTGACCAACATCTCCCCATTTCTCCCTCCTGCCTCCTCACCCCTACCCCTGGAAACCAGCCTGATTGTGGTAATCTTTTCACAGTGTGTACACATATCAAAATATTGCATTGTGCACTTTAAATATATATAATTTTTACATGTCAAAAATAACTCAATAAAGTTGTTTTTAAAAAGTCAAGACAGACACCATTTATGAACTCATAAAAACTCAATGTTGGACTGTCTGCTTTTCTTTATTGTGTGAATATAGACTTAGGTATACCATAAATTCATAAACTGGTTAAGAAAGGACAAGACAGAGACAAAGAGACAGAGACAGAGAGGTTGAGAGAGACAAAAAAGTAGATACATAGAGAATGGGCTGAGTAGGTTGACCAGTAATGGGCAGAGAGATTCCTTCAGCCAGTTCATAGATGCTAGCATAAATTATTCTTGAAAAAAATGGATGGATTGAAAGAATGCCATTAATCATTCTTTATTTCTTTCATTAATTTATTCATTTAACATTTATTTGGTGTCAACTAGGTGCCTGTTTTTCTGCTAGGTACTAGGAATGCACAAATGAATACTATGGACTTTGACCTAAAAAGGCTCACAGTTCAGTGGAAAAAATCAGACATGTGTTTATTTAAATGTGTATGTAATATCATGTAAGAAATGTTGTGATGAAGATGTGTGGCTGATGTTAAGAAGTCATTCAATGAAGACATACATGACCCCTGAACTCCAAAGGTTATAGTTTTGAATTGGTGGGTTTAAGATCCATTAGGAAGTTATCACTCAGTACTATGAGAGGCAAAAGCTACAGAGTTCCTATAGTTGAACTCAGAGAATCCTGAGTTATGGAGTCAGAGAAGAATTAAAATTAATCTGTCCAGGAGGAAGGAGCACAGGGAATAAAGCAAATAAAGCTGCTTTGGGGAAGAAGGAGGGTCAGGTACTTGATTATATCAAGAAAAGAAGCAGGCACTCAGAATTGCCCCAGTGTCCTCCACTAGTAACCTTCCCTTTGAAGAGTTTCAGGTGCTGTATCCACAAAGGACCAGCCCTTTCTCTTACCATTGGACAAAAGATGGGATAATATTGCCCAGAACATCTTCAACACTCAGCACTCATCTCTAACAGCTCCTTAATGTGGTGCTGGGGAGGGAAAATGATCCTAACATTCATTCTGAACAAATAGGAAATTGTGTTTCTTAAGGTTTGATCTGAAAGATACACACCTCCCCTCCCATAGGCTACACCCCACACTACTCAATTTATCTGAGTCAGAAACTCCAAGGACTGAATTGATTGTGCTGTAAATTGAACCTCAGTTCCATTCTGAGTACTTGAAACATGACACTCCATCCACTAAGTTCTCCTGCTTGGGTTGGTTGTTGGTGTGTGTGTGTTTTGATTGTAATATGTTGAAATATTTCTGCAGCTCTGGTGCTGTCTCTGTCTGTGCCGGGAAATGCAGTTTTGATCAGATCTCATAATAATATGAGATGTTGAAGATGAATGCCTATTGATAATTCAGACTGTCAGAAAGTGAGATTCAGATTTAATAACCTGAAAAATGGTTGCAAAAGAATGTGGTTTTATTTTCAGCTGTCTTTTCCGTGTGCTTGTTTCCAACCCAGGGTGAGTTTTGACGAAGGCCACTCCTGGGACAAGTATGGTTTCACTTCGGTTCCTCTCTTTGTTGACGGGGCTCTGGTGGAGGCGGGAGTGGAGACCCAAATCATGACGTGAGTACTTTTGTTGTGGCTGAGAGAAGCCCAAAAACTGGGTTCTGTCCCCACCAAGGCCACGGTTGTCCCAGGAAACCCAAAACCAAAGCATTTCAACTGTTCCATAGTTTCCTCATCTGTAAAATCCTTGTACCCACTAATTCAGAAGGCTACTGACAGCATCTGAAAAGCTAGGCTTCTAATTGACCAGTTAAGGTTTCTAATGGAATTTAAAATATTGTAAATTTCCATGTATCCAGAATCCAAGCAAACAAAGCTTGTTTAGACATTTTCTTTCCAAAACTTTCCAGTAGGGGGCGAGGCACAGAGACAGAGCAAACAAAATAGCCAACATACTGAAATAAGAGAATATTTTATTTTTTTTTTATTTTTATTTTTTTTACAAATAGTTTATTGTCAAATTAGTTTCTGCATAACACTCAGTGCTCATCCCCACAAGTGCCCTCCTCCATGCCCATCCCTCCTCCCCTCCACATCCATCAGTCCTCAGTTTTTGTCAGCATTCAAGAGTCTCTCATGGTTTGCCTCTCTCCCTTTCCCCCACCATTTCCGCCCTTCTTCTCCCCCTTGTTCCTCCGTCAAGTTCCTCCTAATCCTCCTATACGTGCAAACATATGATATTTGTCCTTCTCTGCCTGACTTATTTCGCTCAGCATAACACCCTCAAGGTCCATCCATGTTGCTACACATGGCCAGATTTCATTGTTTCTCATTGCCATGTAGTATTCCATGGTATAGATAAACCACATCTTCTTGATCCATTCATCTGTTGATGGACACTTAGGCTCTTTCCATGTTTTAGCTATTGTGGAGAGTGCTGCTATGAACATTGGGGTACATGTGCTCCTATGCCTCAGCATTTCTGTATCCCTTGGGTAAATTCCTAGCAGTGCTATTGCTGGGTCATAGGGGAGTTCTATTGTTAGTTTCCTGAGGAACCTCCACACTGTTTTCCAGAGGGGCTGTACCAGTTGACATTCCCACCAACACTGTAGGAGGGTGCCCGTTTCTCCACATCCTCGCCAGCATCTAGAGTTCTCTGATTTGCTCATTTTAGCCACTCTGACTGGCGTGAGGTGGTATCTAAGAGAATATTTTAAAGACTACCTGAAGTCTGTGGCGCACACACACACACACACTCACCATGGAGTTGTTACATGTCAAGTTAATTTTCTGTGAACATTTTTCTATATCCCTCTACTTTGAGAATAGATGATCTGAAAGTTTTAAATATCCCTGAAGTATTTTCTGAATATTAAAGAAAATAAGTTGATGCGATTTTTTAAAAGTCTGTCTAACTTTAATTCCTAAAAAGTTGATCATCTATGTGCATTTGTGTGCATGTGTGTACATGGGCGAGATGGGAAGATAGTTATGGTAACCCTCTACCAGCCAATACCACCCTCCTCCCTCACTTTCAAGTGACTAAAACACTTTATGCCTTAATCATCACTGAATGGAATGAAGGGAGTCTTCCCGGTGAGATTAGGGGGAATCTGCTGTGTCATGGAGTTGGCACAGAAGGTCTCGAAGAATTCTTCTCTGCTGGTTTGGGGGAAGAGTCTGGTCTTCCTCCTCTAGGGAACACTGCTCTTCTTTATAACTTTGTGTTATGAATGTCTTTATGTTTTGAATCGGGCTTTTCCAGTGTGAAACTTAACCGGCTTTGAGGAGGAGGCAAATACAGGAGCAAATGGCTAGTTCTGGGCCTTACATTTTTCCGAGTCCCAGTTAAAAAAAAATCTGTCTTAACTACAGCTATGCAGTTGTGAACAAAGGTTGTAATCTGGCCCCCAACCTGACTCCTGTGCCAGGTCCCACCCCTCTACTTCCATTCTCACACCCAAAGTGTTGACCAGCCAGCCCTCTGGGCCTTCAGACTGACAGAAAAAAGTGACAGAAAAAATGGTGCACAACTTGGAGAAAACAAACAAATAAAACAAATGGACAAAATCTGGTTCCAGGTTTAGGGTACCCGACTTAGAATTCTGTAGAAACCTGTAGCTGTGGATTACCTGTCTGGTAGCTAACCATGCTGTATTTTCATTTCTTCATTTGTAAGACTGAATCACTCCTGCTTCTTTTTTTTTAAGATATGCAAAGAACATTTTATTCCCATTTGATTTACAAATGTTTAAAATATAGTTTTTAATATCTGGCACTCATGATGATAACTACGTTCTTTTTTTATTTTTATTTTTTTTACAAATAGTTTATTGTCAAGTTGGTTTCCATATAACACCCAGTGCTCATCCCCACAAGTGCCCCTCTCTGCGCCCATCCCCCCCTCCCTCCCCCCACATCCATCAGTCCTCAGTTTTTGTCAGCACTCCCACTTCTTTTAAAAATGTTGACATCCTGGGCGCCTGGGTGGCTCAGTTGGTTGAACGTCCGACTTTGGCTCAGGTCGTGATCTCACGGTTTGTGGGTTCAAGCCTTGCGTCAGGCTCTGTGCTGACAGCCAGCTCAGAGCCTGGAGCCTGTTTCAGATTCTGTATCTCCCTCTCTCTCTGACCCTCCCCTGCTCACGCTATCTCTCTCTCTCTCTCTCTCAGAAATAAATAAAACATTAAAAAAAATTTTTAATGTTGAAATCCTAAAAAAATCTTTGCCTTTGTAGCAAATTTAGCAGAAGCACTGCAAGGGTCTCATGTCTAGAGGCCTTGTATACAGAAACAGTCTAGGATTTCCAGTGTCTTTCATTACTGGGTTTTGGGGGTGGGGGAAGGTTTATAATAGAAAATCTGAGTGGTTCCACAAGAATGCCTTTTAAATGTTTGGGACAAGTGGAATAAAGAGTGATTTTTAAATTCTCTTCTTAAATTCTCTCTGAATTTTCCATATTGCCAGGGAAATACTTTCTCTTAACCTCAAGGGTGCTGAACTATGTCTTTTAAAGACTGAATACTTATTTTTGAGCTTCTGCTATGTCTTAGGTACTGGGTCGGATCCCAGAGCTCCTTGGTTGAAAACTGAAAAATATGATGTCAAGCCCTATGCGAAGCTGCTATGAAGTATATTACGTTAGTAACTCACATCTGTAGATGTGAACCCGTGTTATGGTAAGACTTCTCCAGGCAGTTGTGTTGTAAAAGGTGAGCAAGGATTTCCTGCAGAATTTGTTGTTCAGGATGTAACACTGTGATTTGAGTTTTGTCCGGTAATTTCTTCCCAATTTTCTAAAATACATCCTAAACAGGACTGTCTCACTGTCAAAATTTCTGATTAAAATTTCTAAACTCTGTTATTAAGAGTTAACAATTCTGTATTCAAATGTAGCTGCATAGACAGTCTTAAGATACAGTATATTATTAATGTTTAGAGTCTAAAGCTTCATCATTTGTTGCATATGCAGCATAAGAACTGGGTGTTCAAAGGAAGTATCACAATATAAATTTTATTTCTAAAATACAAATGATTTTGTAAATTTATAGGTATGCATCTATCATAAATATGAATGTGCAAGTGTATGTATATATACAGATGCACACACACATACACATTTATATACACACATGTACATATACATATATATGTATATATATATATGTATGTATATATAGAGAGATAGGTAACAGAGATACAGGGAGAGAGAAATCTCAAGAATCTAGGGACCTGGTGCAACCTTTATAAAATTGTACTGTAATAAACAATAGTACTGTAATAAATAATAGTAATAAAAGTTAAAAGCATCGTTGGGACCAACATGGAAGGATACTGTTCTAGATGAGCAAATCAGAGAGAAATTCCTGCCCTCATAAAGCTTACATTATTGTACATTAAATAAATGTGACATACAAATGACTCTGTCATTTTACCCAGAATACTCAGCCAAGAGATTAAAATGTTTTCTTGTGAATTCTGGGAACTATATGGGATACTGGAAATACCATCTTTCTTCATGAGAATCTCTGACATGAGCTAACTTTTCCAAACTACTTCCTATCCTTCACTTAATCACTAGTTATAGAAAGAAAAGCTTCCTCTTTTCTAGGACTTCCTCTGATATGTCCATCAAGGAGTTATTAGGTTCTAAATTCCATAAGGCAAAGATACATTCAGAAGCTTGTATATTCTGCTTGAATTCATTAAACCTGATATGGCTACTCATCACAACCAAGCCTGACATAGTCCTAGAACATTAGACAGTGAGGGTAGATATGTTCCTGAAGTCACGTATCTCCTGCTTTTGTGCCAAAGACAGATACTGATCCCGGTTTTATTTTGTTTTCTCCTCATCCCATAATGTGATTTATCCTGTATTGTCTTGTTTGAGCCCTCTTTAAATACACTGCATGCTTCTCTTGGGCATTACCTTGAACAATATCACATGCACACCCATCTTTATATGACCTGGCATTCCCTAGCAAGTTTAAGGCTACATTTTAAATTCTGCGTTCATCTAATCTTAAATGGTAATAATTTTTTTCTCAGCTTCAGATAGAGTTTAGCTCATCACATGGATACGAGAGAGACTGACCTCAGGGCCAAACCATTTACTGAAAAGACGAGATAGCACTCCTATTTTCCTTTCCTCCCCACTAAGACTCCGCAGGAGCAGGGAAGCTTCTGCCCCTTCTACCTTCTTTATCAAGATACTTTAAATGCTAGTAAGTAGAAAGAGGAACTAGGGTCAAGCATAATTGTCTTACGTGGGATTTGGACCAGACAGGTATTTGTCCTTTCATATAATTGAGATGTGTTTGGAAGCAGTTGTCCAACTAAGTATAAACGGTTCAGCCTTCCTGTTTTTAACTTTTTATTAAATTTACAGTTTCTTTACTGTGAAAATAATCCAGGTTTTGTCGGGGTTCTTCAGACAGCCTCAAGCATGAGCTCTGGAAGGACTGCCAGAGGCAATTTCTGTCTCTGCCTCAGATTTGCAAAGGACTTTAAAACCAGGTGGCCAACAGCGCTAAACAGTGCTTTTCCCTCATGGAATGGCAATGACATGGAGTGAAGCAGGAGTTCAAAAAAATTGATCTACTCCCTAAGCA